GAATATGCATGCTCATTAAATGTCTGCTTATATTATTGCTTTCTGCCTTTACGAGTTATATTGAAGAATAAGAACAGAAAAATAAGCAATTAATTGGTTTTCTTTGGGAGTTGTCTTCCCACAGATTCTTTCTGTTTTATTTTTTTCATATCTTTCTCTGCACTGAACTTCAAGCTGTCCTGCCTCGCTGGAAATGTAAAGATGACATTTTGCCTAGCAGTGCACCATGCCAAATATTGTGCTTAAATTCAGAAAAAAAAGTAGGATATCTACAAGCTTGTCTAGACTTGTAGTCAGATGTATCCAAAACAATCGATTTATATTGAAAATTAAGTTTATTTGCTGTTCTTGTGAAATTGTTTTTTAATCTTATTTTTTTGCTTGCCTCAGATGATAAATTAATAATAAAATAATGAGAGCCTTAAACAACAGAACACTTGTGCAATGCACTGTTGTGGCCAATATATAGATCATAGCTAGGGCAATACTTAGATCACTACTGATTTAAAAGTATTTGTTCCAAGCAGGAGTTGACAAGCTTAATAGTACCAGGAGTGTTCAGAGAGTTGTATAGGGTGCTACTTGTTGTTCTGGTGATACCATTTTTTATTTTTAAATCAGGACTGTAGTTCTGATTTTACATCCTTGGGTGTAAAAATAGCAGCCACTATCAAAACGCGTGCACTCTTGCAAATGTTTCGTTGGCACATACAGGCAAGTTACAGCATGGAAGATGGTTCAGTGCCAGACTCAATGTTAGAAACCATTCATTAGCAAAAGTGTCATCATTGTCTTCATTTAGGAAACATAAGTTTCTGTTTTAATGATGCTATCAATATAACTCTTTTATGAAGTCAGAAACTAAGAACTTTGACATGAGGATTCTGTATATTGTATATTGAAATTTAATAAGAAGTCAAGATTGTCCTTTTTTCCCTATTAATAAAATTTTAAAATTAATTACAAACATTCCTTAAAGGCCAAAATGAAAAAGTGACAAACTGATTTTCTCACCAGTTTTAAAAACTCGTTTCATTCTTCAGTAACGAAAGAGGTGCTTTGCTGAAGGTGACTAAAGCTACACAGGATGACTTGGTGCTGAAATGGAAAAGGTTCGATTGCCGTGCCCCAGCTGAAGGACAGCACTGAGCAGCACAACATGCTAAACTCTTTAACTGCTTCACTATGACCTGAAAATCATTTAAAAGAAAACAAGGAAGCATTTTTTTAGGCTTTTTTTTTTTTTTTTTTTTTTTTTCTAAGAGGCAAACTGTTAATCCCAAAAGCTTGGGCCCAGTTCTCTTGGACCATAATTTTACGGAGTTAAGTTGGACTGTGCGGGGGAGAAATTTGTCCCACTACTGTAATAGCTGCATCCTGAATTGCAAAACACCTCCAGGGACCTGTAAAAACCTTGTTTATACTTGAAATGGCAGTTACTGCTGGAAGATTAAGTCATTTTATCCTTGGTAACAAGTGTTTACAATGTCAGTTAAGAGAAATTTTAACTAAGGGATTATTTTGCCTTCTAATTACATAGTGTCCTTCTTGTTATTCATTAGTGCAGTTATTTACTTCCCATTTTCCTCTTTCAGTTGTCTCATATGTCTGACAGAGTAAAAATTGTCTGATACTTGCTTTCTGAAATATTTTTACTCACTTCAGCTGAAACACCAACACAGATGTTATTTTTCCTCTAATTAGCATACGCTTGTATTTCTGATAAATGAAGCAACCGCAATGGTACATCTATAAATAACGCACAAAGTGTTAATGGCAAACTGGTTTCTTTTCGGCTGCAGGAATCGCAGATGATGTGAGATGACATTCTCAATCCAGGCTGAGTTCAGCTGAGCATTTTAGCATGCTCACAGGACGTGTGTAGTTCCTATTCTTTCAGTTTAAATAGCTGACTACGAGCTATGTGGGTGGCTGGAAGATAGAGCTCCATCCTTGGCACAGGGTATAGAATGAAAAGAGAGGAGGGCGATTTTGTTGCCATTGTGGTGGTTTCTTATTTCTGGGATGCTTCTAATTTATTTCAGAAGTTGTTTTTTTTTTTGTCTAAAGTACGTTAGCATTTCCCATGTTTCGTGTTCATCTGAAGAAGGCTACCAGACATATTCTTTATGCCATGAGGATGCAGTGAGTTCAGAATAAAATTTTCTTGGCCTTACATTAGTAAGTATTACTTAAGGAAGGAACTCATCTGAGCTCTTTTTTGCAGTTTTTTAGTGGTATAAAAGAAGTGGTATAAAAGTGGCCTAAATGGCTTTGGTCTCTCGTCCTTACTTTCTAATATATCATGCCTTCTCAATGCAGTAACAGAGACAAAGAGAAGTGGGAACTTGTCATGAAGTAAGAATGTGGAGGAACAGAATCAAAGGGCTTTGACTTGAACTTTGCTCCAGCTACTGTTGCCAACCAAGAACTTTCTGTGGTACACCACAGCCTCTGTGAAGGCACATAATGTACTCTGTGAAGCAGTTCAGTCTAGAAGTTGGGCAATGTTAATGTGTTTATAATAGCTAAAATCTGGTGGGAATGCCTTTTTGGCCTTTGTATACTGCATGCACGTTTTAAAAATGTACCACATTCTGAAATCAAGTTAGCCTTACAATGAAATAAAAGCAGGTGTGCAGGCAATCTGGTGAGATGCACAAACAAGGAAAGGGCGAGGTGTGGTGATGGCACAACACCCATCGACTTCACTGTGTTACTTGGGTAATAGTGCTCCCTGCCTTCCTCCGTGGTGGTCCTGCACCATGCTGGTGTCTTCTGAGCATCCTTTCAAAGGTAAGGCGTGTTCTTGCCACTAGTCTTGGTGATAACAGCATGGACAGAAATACACAAAACCAGCCACGCAGTCCTTTATTCCTTGGAAAAGGAGAGAGAGAGGGGGGAAAAAATGTGTTATTTTGTAGCTGGGAAAATACTCTTTACAAACATTATTTTAAGAATCTACCATATACATACAGTAACCATTTGTTTGATATTAACTCTGTTTTACGTTGATTAAGATATTTCTTCAGCTTTGTACTTGCCAGAGCTGGCTAGAGTTTCCCTCTGCAGGGAAAAGAACATGCAGACCACTAGGGATTGGTACAGAAAACTCCATGTGGGCATCTGCCCAGGTTTTTTTTAGCTCTCCTAGGAAAAGAAAAGGAAGCTGCTTTCAGCATGGATATTTGTGCTTGATGTTCGAAGTATTCCCATTTTTTCGCCCATTTATGATTTTAAGTATCTGACTGCAAGTAGTAGCAAACAAATGGGAATACATTTGTGCACGTGCGCCACTAGAGGATTCTTGTCCTGTTTCTGGTTTCTTTTAATGCTTCTGATCTAGTTCCTGAAGTTGCATGTTTTCCCTCAAATAGGTATGTTCTGAGTTTCTAGAAAAGTCACAATATCGTCCCATTTCAAAGCAATGGAGAATTGTGTCTCCAGTGATAGTTTTCAGAAGTGTCAGGTGATAGATATTAAGTGTGTTGTAGCTTCCTATTACACCTGGGTATAAAGCTGTAGGTTCTTCTGAAGGACCAGATGGAGGAAGGCTCGTGAGAAGGCATATGGCAGAAGGCTAACTTGAATTAGCTTCCCGTGTTCAAGTTGAGTCTACAGTAGGCATCTAGGTAGTTCTATTTTTGTCATCTCTGCTGTAATTTTTTTCCCCTGCTCTTGTGGTGAGAACTTTCCTTCCGTGATTTCAACTTCCACACATACGTGCCTGATTCTCCATTCTCATGAATGTAGTCATATGAGAGACTGTGGTCCCCTTCGGAGAAGCTTGAACAGTTTGCAGTTCTGCAGCTGTCAATTACCATCTTTCAGCTAGAACTTAGTCATAAATGTCATAACTTGCAGTTATGAATGCTCCTATCCTGTTTCAGTGCCAAGTGAAACAGATTAGCTGGTCTCAAGTTGGTTTAATCTAATCTCTTTAATCTGTCTGTGGGTTATATTTATCTGCTTTGCTTTACACTGGTATGGACTAATGATGCATTCATGCAGTCAGAGTATGAATCTAAGCAGAGGGATGGTATCTTCTCAATCTGCTTTTGGCTGGGTTACAATCAAACTTTTCTTTCTACTCATTTATCTTTTTCCTTTATTCCCTTTAGCAATCTGCACTTTCTTGCAGGAGCGATAAGAATTTTTGAAGTGAAGCTCCTATTGCAGTTTAGTACACGTCAGGGGACATATGACTTGGATTCCTCTAGGATGAGACTGAGCTAGAACATGTTCTGCAGCTCCACACCTAATGCCTTCCATCTGTTAATTCCTTCCGTGTAACCAGGCTAGGCATGGGCTGAAGTACCAGCTTCTGAAACAGTTGTACAAGACACGGTGGCGTACGTAGCAACATCTGGTTCACTCCAGAAACTCACCATCGTTGTTCTGCACAGCTTCCTAATGCAGACATACTGCAGTAGGAGCATCATCTCCAACCCAGTTCTGAATCTGAGAGCATTTTTTGCTAACTTCCAGTGGTGTGGGATTAACAGATATTACCAAGGTGATGTCTTAACTCCTTGTGACAGCTACAGGATGTTTCCTATGACCATCAAAAGTATCTTTTCAACTTCCAAGCCAGCTTCCCAGCATTCAGAGCCTTGTGATACCTTTGTGAAATGAAAGGGTTGTAAACAAACAGAGGTAGATAAAGGAATGCATATGCATGAGTGGTAATTCCAGAGACACAGTCCTATTTCTGATTTCTCCTAGTAAGACGCATAAAGGTTTTGTAAATACATACGTATGTAAAATAAAATTAAATTGCATTCAGAGTTCTTTGATGCGAACTAAAATTGTATTTGCCTGTAAAGAAGTCTGGATAATCTTTGAGCAATTTTGGAAAGTTACCTTTTTCTCTTTTTGTAGCTGTTGAATGTATCTTTATAACTTAATAACTCTTCTTTATAACTTTAATAACTCATAAATCAACTTCTATCACTCTTAAATGTGTAATTATGTCTTCATATCATATTTATTTGCTACAGGGTGTTGGGAAAAACAAGATTGTTGACAGATTCCTTCACCTTTTAAACAGGCCCAGAGAGTATTTACAGCTGCATAGGTAAGACTGAGTTACATTTCCATACTTTGTGTTTGTAGTCCGATTTCTCATGTTTTAAAACTCATGTTTCTGAACTTTAATTTGGTCTTCTTGTTTGAACAAATTCCGTGTTATGTTAGGCAGCACACAAATAGACCCCAGAAATGTATCCTTTTCAGAGGCAGAGGCGTTAAGCTGACAGGTTAAGGAGGTTACAGAAGTCTAGTGGAATCACTTTACTTAACAAAATAGGAAGCAAAATAGAGCTTACTGATGTCAAACCATGCTCAAGAAGAGAGTATGCTGTCATTTCTGGGGAGATTTCCCAAAGCATGTGTGAGGGGAAAATTTTCAAAGGCACTTGCTTGAATACATCATTCATTAGATAAGAAATACTCTGAATAATAAAAGTTCATTGTTTCCTTTATTTGGCATTGCTGCTTAGCATATTTGTTTCTCTAATATCCATAAACATGTTGAGATTAGAAAATTATAATTTTTTTCATATGCAAGCTAACAAAAGGACTTCAATACAAGAAACCAATTGAAAACAATTCAAAAGCTGAAATAAACAACAGGTAATGGTGTGCAGAGCTTTTAATACTGATTTATCTGTCTGCTATTTATGACTCGAACTGTGCGTGGATCAGTAAACTGAAACAAAGACTGAATTGATATAGAAGAATCATTTTCGGTTGAACTGCATCCTTTCTCAGCTTCATTCCTAATCTTTACCTCCCCCCCTTGAACTTCTATCTTCATCACCCTGTCTCTTTCTATAATCACTGTTTTTTTAAATAGTGCTAATAAAAATGTACATCTTTGGTATTTTGCCCTTTAACAGCACAGTCCTTTTAACACTTTCTGTCTCACTTTCTCCCCAGCTTTTTGTCTACAAATGTCTTGTCCTCTCGTTCCTAATACTTGGATAGCTCTATCTCATCACTTCTCTTCTGCTGTTTTCTTAGATACTTCCTCTCCTAAACTTCCATCACTTCCTTTTCTGACCTGTTACTTTTCAGCTTTGCATTAACTTTCATGTCATCTCTGCTTGAAGCAGCCACCTTCTCCTTCTGGATAAAACATGTTATAATTTTGTGTAAATCCCATTCATTTCACAAAATGCTGCAGTATTCCTCTTTGCTCAGTGTATGTGCCTGTTGAAAAATTGTTCTGCTGTGGGGCGTGGTTAAGCAGAACAGTATATGTAAATACAAATTCAGACAGCTCAGGGCTGGGAGTGTTGTATAAATATGCAGTTTGGGGTGGTGATGGAGCCATAGAATATGTTAGCTACAGTACGCTACTTGAAAGAGCACCAGGAAAAAAAAGGTGCCTTTTTTTTTGTCTAGTTGAGACAAATTTCTGTAGACTCTGTCAAGTTCTGTTTGTGGTCACAGTGTTATAGGGATAGGTGGCAAATGATGAGCAGTCCTATGCGGTTCTACAAAAATAATTCCTGAATATGGAAAAATCACAAGTTTCTATTTCCTGGGTGGCATTTTGAAATACCTTCTGAAGAACACAGTCTGTATAGTACCTGAGTGGACTTTATAGGATCTTTAAACAGGTAATCCTGATAATCCTAAATATTGTCAGTGCACACTTTTGGACTATAAAACAAAATTAGAAAAAGTTTACCCCTCAAAATTGAACACTAAGCTTTTAGATGTTTTGTTTTTTTTTGGAGGGGGAGGGAAATAGAGTCAGTAGCTTATAGCAGAGACAGAATCACAGAACTTCTAGGTTGGAAGAGACCTCAAGATCATCGAGTCCAACCTCTGACCTAACACTAACAGTCCCCTACTAAACCATATCCCTAAGCTCTACATCTCAACGTCTTTTAAAGACTTCCAGGGATGGTGACTCCACCACCTCCCTGGGCAGCCTGTTTCAATGTCTAACAACCCTTTCAGTAAAGAAGTTCTTCCTAACATCCAACCTAAAACTCCCCTGGCGCAACTTTAGCCCATTCCCCCTCGTCCTGTCACCAGGCACGTGGGAGAACAGGCCAACCCCCACCTCGCTACAGCCTCCTTTAAGGTATCTGTAAAGAGCAATAAGGTCGCCCTGAGCCTCCTGAGCCTCCTCAGACACATCTTATTAGAAAATTATCTAGTGTGTGCATTTCATCTTCCATGGGGTGGTTACTTTGATGAAATACTATAAGAAGTTCTGGTGATCTAAACACTATATATATTCAACAAGATTAAATCAGGGAATATTTTTCTTAGAAGCAATGAGCCAATACAAGGAATAATTTTAAGATCTCAAAATTTATGTCTTGTATTTACAGATGATGAGAGGAGAAAGACAGAAAAGAGAGTGCTTTTCTTTAAACATCTTTTCTGACATCTGTATTTACTTGTTCTATCTGATTCACATGGAAGGGTCAGCTTGACCTAAAGAATTAGATTGCTTATGGAGGTTATAAATCCTTCTTCTTAACCTTGCTTACCTCATTGAGAGGTTTTATTTTCTGGGGTGCAATTTAGATATATATAGCACCTATTGCCATATTGATAAACATTCTTTGGAACCACTCTGATAGCAGCACTAAGAACAGGAGTTGGCACTCGGCACTTCTGTTTCCAACCAATTTGGGGGAAAAAAAGGCACAAGACTTTGCTTAACTTTGTTAAGTTTTATAAACCATTTTGGGACCATGAATCCGAAAACCTTTACTGAAAGGAAGCTGCGATTAAATTTAATAAGGAAAAATTTAAGAAAAATGTTTGCTTATAAATTATTCAAAGAGTTGGTCTGCCTTCACTTACATACTTCTTAATATTAGGAGTTGATCATGACATAGAAAAGAAGTAAGCTACTGGAAAAATGTGCTATATACCACATCTCTCTTACCACATACAGCTGGGTTTATAGGACTGTTCCTGAAATTGGTAATTTGGGTTAGGCTCTGCATGGCTTCTGTTTAGGGTTGCACTTAGGAAGCATCCTGCTTCCTTTCCATGCTGAACAGTGAGTTTTTACATGTTGGGATTTCCCAGTTAGGTCCATTTCCTAAAAGAATAAGTTCTGGCAGAGTAATCATCAAGTTTTGTTCACCCCTCAGGGCTGGTTGTACCCAGGGAACTGGCTGCATGTCATAAAACATATCACAGAGTTATCTTCCCTAATATTAAACTTCAGGGATTTTACCACTTTCACCTTGAGCGCACATTCATGATGCTGCTAGAAGGTAAAAATCTACGAGGCCTGTGCAGTTACAGGCCAAGATGAACATCTGTGTAGAAATCAGACACATACTGGATGACTTATTGACTTATTATGACTGGAGGACATCAACAGTTTCTAATAAAGTGTAACAGAGAATGAAGTACTTGCTTTATTCCTAAATGTGTGAACTCTGGAAAGCCTCATAATTTTATGAACTGTGCTATTACTACATTTGCCATGTCTCATGCGAGCAATGTGGAAAAAAAAAAAATCACTGGTGGTTTTTCACAAAAATCTGAAGCCAAACTTGGTAAATATTACGGATCTGTAAAACAAATTTCACTGAATCAAGAAAAAGCTTTTCATGAAAGTTGATAATATCTTGCTGTAAATTACAAAGTTTCTTGAAACAAGAATATTCAACAGAAGGAAAATGAAATAAAATAAATCTTTAAAGTAGACTCAGGCAAGAACATGTGCCCTGTCAAGACTATAAAAACCTTCTTAGCCCTGAAAATATTAAAATGTAAGCTCCTAGCTCTCCTGTGTAAAAGCATCAGAAGAAAGTACTGTGAACTTGAGACTGTTGGCTCCTTTGATGTGATCAAAGAAAAAAAAAAAAAGATGAGTTTTACTTCTCTTACGATCAAATTACTAACGAATAGTACATAAGAATGGCTTTGCTGGAGTACAGTATCCTTTATCTGTCATTTAAAGTTATGCATCTGCTTGGAGTTCAGTCCTACTGTCAAGCTGCTTTTTAAAATTTCAATGACAATGATTTCTCTTCCTTGCAGTTACTATTTCTGTGTAGTGTGGTATTATGTAACTACAGTATTCACTCTGCACTGTTTCCAGTGCAGGATTGATCTGTGGCTCAAGATATTTTGTTTGGTTGGTTTGGGATTATGAAGAGACTTTTAAAATAAAGCTTCCCAAAAGCTTAGATTCTTACAAGGAATGTGAAGAAAAATCAGTGACATACATTTTATAGTTGTTTCTGCTAGATTAATAGATGGGGTGCTAGATTTTACATACTCAAGACGTTTGAATTAATATGTACATCAAGCTTTTCAAGTCACAGAATCATTCAGGTTGGAAAAGACCTCTGAGATCATCTAGCTCAATCTTTAACTTAGCACTGCCAACTCCACCATTAACCCATGTCCCTAAGCACTACATCTGCCCTGTTTTTTGAAGAACTCTGAGGATGGTGACTCAACTGCTACTCTGGGCAGCCCGTTCCAATGCTTTACAAGTCATATGTTGTCTAATCTTAGTGTTCATTAAATATTCTCCTAGTCTTTAATATATGAAATTAAGAAAAGGGGAAAAAGAAATAATGGCATATAACTTCTTCTCATCTGAAATCTTATTTTGGCAGCTAAGTAGCACTGGAGAAATTCTGTGGAGATCATGTAGTGTCAGCCCAAGATCTGATGTACAGCCGTGAAAGCTACCACCTCTGTTCTACTGGTGTTGAATTGGATTTAAGTCATGTAGCCAAAAGAGCAACTGGCAATAGGAACCTTCTGAAATGATCTGACATGAGTTGTGCTTCTAATTGCTCTAATAGCACGCAAACAAAAGCCTCTCTCCCAATAGTGTCTTTTAGAAAAATCATGTGTAAAGAAGGTCTGTGTTTCAAGCAGCACATTTGCTTGGTTCAGGAAGACACAATTTTCATTTTTCTGTGTTAGTACCTTCTTTGTAAAGTTGGTATAAATTACATTCATTGATTTTTGAGATTCTCAAAAGCTGTATGAACATGTCCTTGGCAACCAGCCCTGCTTGAGCCACAGGGGTTGGACAAGATGACCTTCCAACCTCAACCACTCTGTGAC